GATTTCAGTTTGCTCAGATCGCTCTCCTACGGTAACAAAATAATTGTTTGCAGTGTGCTGTGCTCATTCTATGTCCCTTTCTAAAATTTTTATTTGCTGTGTTTAATTTAGAATGTAAAGTCACAAAGCATTTTTTCAAACGAAGACTGTAATAATCGTCACTTGAGTGGAATGGCATATAAGATACAAGCACAATAAAAATTATTGTAGAAATTCACGTATTTTAATATATTGGGAACGGTCATAACAGTTTCAGTTGTTATATTGGCAATAGTTGCTGTTTTTCGTTTTTTGGACAATAGCATAAAAAAGGTGCAATTCTTTATTCTTACGTCGATTATGTTCAGCATGTTATTTTTACAAAGGTTTCTTGTCGTAAAAGCGTCGTTGAAGTGTGGCTGAGAAAAATATTAAAACTACTTCTTTGAAACTTAATATGAAAGATTCGTAAAAATTTTTATTTTTTACGTAAGAGTTTTAAAGTTTTTTGTACTCCAATGCATTGTTTTTATAAATGTTTCATAATAATAAGGAGATTGCAAAAATGTTCCTCAAACAGAAAAAAAGGGGGGATCATCAAAGCAACATTTTATTGAATTAGTATAAAAGCCTCACTTTTTATTATTATTTTCTCTAATGGTTACAATTTTTTTAAACTTGTTTTGTTTCTCGTATGAGTGCCTGAACCTTCTGCTTTCTGATCGGCCATTAAATTGAAATTACAGATGTTTTTTCTATAGGCCCAGTATTTATGTTACAACAGACAGATTAAAAATAGAAACCAGCTTGCGAAATGCAGTAAAAATTTATTTCCTCATCTCTTTGTTTAACTGAAGTGCTTTCTTCTGCTAGTTGTTGCAAAGATGTGGCATTTGACCTATTGCATAATCTTATGACTTCCTATGCTCTTTTTTGAACAGTTTAAAATGGATCGACTCTAATAACGTAAGTGTGGAGAAATCCAGTGAACAGCGAAGCGAGTAATCGCTCAAGTTCAATAACAGAAACGTAAAACTCACGAAGGGTTAATTACTCTTTATTGCTCAAAATAAAGAATAACAGTCGGCCCCTTTCTCAGGGCGTAAGGCGGCCCATTCTCAGGGCCAAAAGCCTCCACGTGGGGTCAAACTCAAAAGTGAAAGAAATAAGAACTTCTTAACTAATGCTCAACTAAAGAGATGTAGCCAAAGCTAACATAAATCTAACTAGTTGGCCCCTAAGTATCGAATTAGCTAGCGAAGCTATCAAGGGCCCGTTATATGGCCGAGCGTAGTAACAGCTTAGAGAAACGTGGCCAAAAGGTAAACGCGAGCTATTCAGAAACTATGATACTTCCCCTCGAAGTCAGCGGAACTTAAATACTACTCGTACTCATTTGCATTAAACGTGATTCTAAAAACAGATTCTGGTAGGAAATTGTAAGCTGAAAGTATGAGAGATAGGAAAGGAGGTTTAACTTAAAAATAACTGTTAAAAACTTAACTGTTAAAAACAAGTAGGCTTCAAAATGTTTGAATACGACTTACTCAGCCATTATTAGAAATCATCTTTTTTCCGCCATTGTTCTTTCTGTAATATGTTCACGCTTGCTTGAATGGTTCTAGCAATTTTATATGAGTTAATTTACTATATACTACACTTTTTGAGTTTATTTAGTTGCTGTCGAGACTTTAATAATATTTTCAATTTATTTGTTATTAAAGTCAAGTTTTAATATGCTACTAAATGGCTGTTTTGTGCTAACGAAATCCACAGTAGCAGGTAAGGATACTTAATATTTAAATTTGTTTTAGTTAGTTTTGGATTTTGCTTTATTTTGGTCATTATTAGATAGTTCTTTTCATTATTATTAACCAATTACTTTGATTACACCAAATTTTACAATTAGACTGATTGAAACATTGATGTCGTATAAAAATAATTAGTTTTAATTAGCATAATATGCATCAAGTCCAAATAATTTTCATGTTTAGAAAAACTGTTTGCCTTTTTATGATATTCTGTGTGAACTAACGTTTCATTTTACCTATTAAATATGCCGAAACTTTTAAGAGCAGACTCCTTTTAGATTTTGCATGTACTGACATATTTAATGAAAATATTCACTATAAGCATATCGGACAAACTATAAATAAAAAAAAACTATAAACATGGGTGATTTCTGGTTGAGTACTTCATTACAAAAATCATTCATTATTTATTTCAGCATATCAAAATTCTTATTATAATATAAATTTTAAACGTCGTTAATACATTTTATATAATTTGGCCTGGCAATCTTATTCTCATTTATCTTTTCTCGAGTATTACATTGTATTTTTTTGCAATGTTGCATCTTTTGTTTTTATGTCTCACAACAATATTTGTCAACACAACGTGGGAACAGGGGCCATCATCATCCCACTTAACTGACAAATACTTGTACTTTTTAACTTCCTCAAAAGCATAACAATTAAGAGTTGTTAACAAGAACCTTTGCCACTAGATAAACAGTAGTTTAGCGCATGTGTGTGAGACACATCATAGGCTGCGTTTGTACAATAAGGTAGAGAAAAAGAGCACTATTCTAAGAGAAGAAATCGTAAGAGAGAAATTATGTTCTTTAATAATACACTTTGTTTTTCCGTTTTGTGAGTTTAAACCTTTCGCTTACAAGGCGTGTTATCTCTTTCTCAGCAACTTTTTACATTAATATTATAAGTTAAAAGCACAGTAACAATATTTTATTGGATAAACATACATTGCTAACCCTAGACTCGAAAAATTAAACGTTCCGTTTAAAAAAAAGGGGGGGGGGAAGAAAAGAAAATAGAAAAAGAAGTTTGATACTTTTCAAATGACATGACATTTTTCCATTTCTTAGGAGTAATGGAAGTATATGAGCATATCTAAACGCATTTCATACGCAAGCTATTGTGTTGTTTAAGTTATACTGTGCTCCTTAAGGTTTCCAGTAGCATATGAAACACGACGAAAACCAACCAAGAACTGCGGAAGACTAAACTTCTACGTCTCAATATACTATACTAAACTGGTGAATTGCTCAAAGGAGATAACCAGTATCATATTAAATGTTTTGAACAGGTTTGGCTATTTGATTATTGCAAAGTATGGAAAGGCTATCTGCCTGAGAAGAGCGGTGTCTTTGTGGAGGACTTTCTAAGGTAAACTGGCTCCTATCCACGTTACACACGAAGAAAACAAGAAAACGCCCTTGCGCACGGTCCGTTCGCATGGAATCGAAATCAAGTTGAATTACCAGCGCTCAGTGACGCTACCGCTCTCGGCCGCTGGTTGGCCTTTTGCTTTGAATATATTATTACTTGAGCTCACCACAGCATCAGTAGCAGTCTGCTAAGGAATTCTGTGAATAATACATTTATTATAATTAACTATTAAGTTTATCATATTTGCATTTATAAGCGTTAAATGTATTCTTGAAAATACGCCAAATGCCACGAGATTAAGCTAATTAGGAAGAAGTGTTCTTGCTATGAAGCAGTTAAATGTATAAGTTTCAATCCTCTATTCTGCTTTCGTTTCTTTTTTGTGCGAATCACTTTTCAAATAAAATGATACTGCCACCAAATATTATCTCTATGCACTATTATTAAAGAAATAATACAGCAGATGTAAATACTCTAGCGAATATAAAAAATGCATAGCAACACTCTATTGAGAATTTTAAAGGTATGCTAAATATTCTGTGATTTAGTTCTTAAATTTTATGTGGCGTAAGTGCGAAGAAAGTGATGTTTAATAAATAAAGGTAAAATGACAAATAAAAAAGTTGTTATCTTATTAAGAAAACTGAACACTGATATCATGAACTGAGGGGAAAAAACTGGAAAAAAGTGTATGGCAATTTGTTGGGAATTCTAAAGATAGCCTGCTTTTAATCATTTTGAGATTGTTAAGTCAATAATTTGTAAATTCGAAATGCTATGTGATCAGAGAATATACCACGATCAATACAGTATTTTCAAATGAAAGCAGAAGAACGAATGTGTTCATGAGTGCGTATAGTTATCCTTTTTCATTATATGGGAAGAAAGAATAATAAAATATGTGTGTTTATACTTAATATTAAGGCATAAATTTTGTAAACATGTTAGCTCTTTTTCTTTATATAAACTATCACGTAGTTCCACGTTTTAAATAGGAACGAGTTTTAAGTAAAGTACCACTTGATATTTTATTTAAAGTTCGTTGTTGTTTAAAACATGGAATTGGCGGGAGGTCATATGCTGGCTGTATCATATCTCTTTAAATCTAAAAATAGAGTAAATATTTGGATGATCTTCATCTTTATTTCCATTTCCAGTAAGGAATCAATGTCTTATTATATATTGTGTAGCTGCAGTGACTTACTTTTTGCCAGCTTTTGATATAAATCGTAATTTTTTTTTTTTTTTTTTTTTTTTTTTTGAGAAATAGTGTTATTAGTTCTTGGGTATAAAGTGGTTATACATGTAAAAATAAATAATTGTATGTGCATGTAAAATAAATACTTGTCGAAAGAAGTGTGTTTTGCGCTTTGTTTATCGAAAATAAAAATATTTTATTTTCTTCAAGTGTAAAATCTTTGTTGAAATGAGACAAAGTTTGAAACGGACAGATAAAGTACTCTTATTTGCATTATAGTAAGTACGTATTTGACCATTTACATTTACTTAAAATAGCCAACTTTAGTACATGCATAGGTTATAGTCCCAGTTATTTCGGATAACTGGATTTTTACTGTACTCTAATGTATATTTTTCAGATACATACTTAATGTATATCATATTTCACGCATGTATTAAATTATACGCAATTAATATGCCCAGCTTCAGCTTATTTTTGGACCCGCCTGAGAAACTGGAAAGGTAATTTTGTAAACTGCTGCACTGCATTCAGCATACGCTAACCATTTACTTAGAAATGCATTTCCACTAGATGGCGACACACAATCTCCCTCTTCAACATCCCTCAGATCTTTTTCAGAAGGCATTGGATGGAACAGAAGCTCAGGCGGCATATCTTTTCTCCTGAAACTTAAGATTGCCACGTGTTTTCGAACTCTTTTGTTGGACTGGATGGGGGAAGCATTTGTTTTGTTGCTCGCCCTCTTATTCAGTGGTAAGTGACGTATGTTTTCCTTTTCGTGGTCATTCAGTAAAATGTATAATCATATTCTACTGGGATGAATGCGTAATATTTTTATTTCTGTCTCCCTTTTTTTCCATCCTTAAGTTGTTGTTTTAAAGTATCTGCGAAGTCCATATGCCTTGGTCAAATATTTCTATTAAACTTCGAATCTGATATTCTATAAAGATATGACACATGTTAAAGATTTAATGAAGAATTAATTATTGATGAGCTAATAATGAATTCCTCTTTAAATCTTTAACATGTGTCATATCTTTATAGAACAGAAAGAATCTAAGACATCGGAGCTCCAGAACTTATTTACTTGTCATCCTAAAATAAGTTACGCAATTAATGCTTTGATTTAACGTACAGTTTCTCCCAAACTTCAATATATTTAAAGAAAGCATAGACACTTCTTTTAATAAATTAATGCATAGACTAACAGAACTTTCTATTTCTTTTCCCTAAATAATTTGCATATAATAACTGCAGAAGTGTGCGATAAAAATAGAGTTGCCTTCTATAGAACATAGTTAGATTTCATGAGAGTAAAAAATGAAACAACGCTTTCAGAGTTTTGGAAAAAGCATGTTTAAGTTTACTATCACTGGTGTAATGAAATAAAAAAAAAGTGTTGAGCTACTTTATTTTTAAACATTTATATTGTAGAGACAATAGGTATTTTTTTGGAAGCAGAAGACGTGAAAAATGAGCAATGCCCTCGCCGGAACTCGAACCACGGACCTCTCCAATAGGCGCCAAGCGTGCTGACCACTAGTCCACAAAGGCATGCTAAGAAGATGGAAGAAATACCTTATATACTCCCCTTTTTAAAGGGAGACTGGGGATTAGAGGACCCAAACGCCAAATTCTGATGGTGGATAATCATTACCACCACCTTTTTTAGTTTGGGCGCCACTGTAGAGACATTAGTTATTTTTTTGGAAGCAGAAGAGGTGAAAAATGAGAGTGCCCTCTCCGGGGATTGGAACCACGGACCCCTCGAATATGGGCCGAGCGTGCTGACCACTACACCACGAAGGCATGCTAAGAAGACGAAAGAAATACCTTATAATATCAGTTACTCTGAATAAAAAATAAAAGTAAGTAGTATATATTAAAAGTTCTGGAAGTTATTAGTTTTGTTAATTTAACAACTTTGATTTTAAAATTTATCAAATGTTTTGCTCAATATCATTAAAAAATCTAATAATTTAATATTCATATATTATGCAAGAAAACATTTTGAACAATATAAAAGTTTACTTCTAAATACATATAAAATGATGTTATATTACAGGAACGAAGTTTATCCGAACATTTTAGTCTCTGGATCAAACCACAAATCGCATGAAAAAGTGGAAATAAAAAATATAAACAAAATTGGAAAAGAAATTAATTTGTTATCAAAATTAAGTTAATGAGTGTTAAATGTCGGTGCAAATGGTCCCGAGTATCAAATTTAAATGATAATGAGATCATATCTTCCATTCAGGATAGCTAAAAATAGAAGCAAAATGAAGCGATTTTTATGATAATTATCCAGGCATATCAAGTACTGAAGCATTTTCGTGTTAAGAAACAGCTATGAACAAAGCGCAGATGTAAGAAGAGTCTGATCCAATATGTAAACTGAAAAGAATCGCGATAGAGCCGCATATAAAGGATATGTTATGTGAAACAAAACAAAGAGAAAAAATACGAATTTTTTTATTTGTTAAAAAATGCAATTAATTAATTCGCAATTTTTCTAAAAAGTGTTATGTATTTTGTATTTTAAAGGAGATGGCTGTGAAAAATATCGCTACCATTTTTAGTGACCTTGAAACCTCGCAGTCCGGGATTCTAATACATTTTACATCGTCTGTCCAGTTATCAGAAATTTTGTTGACGTGAGCTGCGATTGATCATGAAGAAATATAATAATCGACGTTTTATTACACGTATTTAAAAAAGACCGTGAAATATGTTATTTTGAGTTTTATTAATTAAATTAATGATCACTAAACATTCGCAAGTTTTGAGACCATAGCTTTAACTCTGGAGCAATTTTCAATTCCACAATTATTTTTGTAAATAATGTTTATGTTGTATTTATGTTTCATAAAAAAATTCTGTGGTAAAAATTGCGATTTTTTTTAATTCTCGAAATTTATTTACGTGCTTTTGAGCATAGGTTAGGTTATTTGAATATGGTGAAGCACACCAAGCCATCTGCTTAAAGGAAGGGATGCCTTCGGGCAGGAAATTTTAAGGAAAACTGGCTCATACTCAACTTACATACAGAGAAAAACAAGAAACCTAACCATGCAGTCACCTCGGTCACCTGAAATCGAAGTGGATCTAACTCCCAGTATTCAGCAGTGTGAACCACTCGGCTATTGGTGAGGTGCCCTACTGGTGCAGATTAAAACGTAGCAAATTAAATAAATAAATAAAAAATCTCAAAGGTTTCGGATTTTAAATTACGTCCAAAGGGGCGTTTTTTTAACATTTTGCCTGTACCTTTATTTATTAAATATCATGGTCTTCGCACTTAAACCATGAAATTCAGTTCAAAAGCAATATCGCAAAATAATTTTAAATTGAGTATATATTTAGAATTTCCGAAGCACAGTCTCACGCGCTGGAGATAAAAATACTTTTCCTGTACAACTTTGATATTGCTTGCTTTCAAATCCTTGAGTTTGTTAATCAAAAATTCGTTAAAGTTTCATAAAATATGAAAGCGATAATAAAACAAATTCGAAATTTCAAATTTGGGCTTCCAGATGCCCATATTCGCAGTGGGATTACGTCATTCAAAATTGGATGGCTCTAGGTACCGTTGTTTTATCACAGTGCGAGTAAAATACATATATTTATGAAGGTTCTTCATTATTTAATTTCTTTAAATATAATACAGGACGATAATATTTGGTGGCGACAGTTTGAAAAGTTAAACGGACATTCAGAGTGATTCGACGCAAAATTGCAAAACGAAAACAGTAGTCCCTCAGGGACAAGGCCACTTTGGACTAATAAAATAAAAAATAAGCTTGCTTGTATAAGTGGGAATCAATCAAGTGCTGTTTCATACGAGACTGTTTCTTCTTTTAATATAAAACGGCATAGCATGGCACAATACTTCTAAACATTCAAATCCATAACAGAAGCTCTGAGAAAACTGACGGTCATTAAGAAAAATTGTAGATTAACTTTGAATATGAGGTTTTACTAATTAAGCTAAAGTAAAGCTTTACATCCAAAATAATAACTGACTGTGAATGGACAGACATATAGCCTTAATGAATTCTGCCATAATCCAAGTAGTCCAATCTAAAATAAGTAAGTTTAAAAATATCTCCTATTATGAAACTATTGATTTGCTTTTTTTTAATTTATGAGTGCATGAAACAGTCTCATTCTACTGCCTTGATATCTAACTAGTGAGTTACTTAACTATTAAATCTTTACTTACTTAGCAATTAACATGAAATCCGTAAGAGCTAGAATTATAAATTTACAGAGTGTTCAATACCCAATAATTTGGGAAAGTTGGCAGTTAAATATGGATTATCAGTAGTTTACGATTATGTTTTCTTCTAAATGCGTTTCATGAAAATATAAAGCTAAATAATGCAGAAATACATATTTTATTCCAAACTTGTCAGGCTCTACAAAATTGCACAGAAATTCATAAATGCATATTATTTTAAATTTATACTAAAAATGTAAATTATACTAAATACATACTAAAATGATGTTGCGAGTATATAAAAACAATCCCAAATAATTTATTAAATGTTTATAAAATATTTTCTCTTCCCTTTTTGCGTGTCTTCGGGGTGTAATTGGATAGCATATCGGCTAACAAGAGGAAGAGCCGGTGTTCGAATGCCAGCAGAGCACAGCATTTTTCACATCTCGTACATCGTTAAATGTTAAACTCTACATGTTAACAAAGCGTTTATCTGTACTCACATAGGTCTTCAAGAAAATCGTGTTTTATTTTTAAAAAGCAAGTACACAAAAACATGATTGGTCTAAGCTCTAAACGTCAAACTGAAATTTGAATTTTTCACAAAGTAAGCCAACCTTTGAGAGCTGCAGCAGGTATTATATTTATTAGTCTGGTTGACATTAGGAAATCGCATGCTGTTTTAATGCATTTTTCCTTCACAGCAATAGATGTCGATAGTATCGAGTTCACAAAAGTTTCGTTATTTGTATCGTATATTATTTCTCGTAATTCAGTAGTGTCTGTTTTGTTCTTACTTATACGTTCAGTTAATTTCGCATTTTTTCTCAAAATTGTATTTTACTCTATAAGGTATTTCTCCTGCCTTCTTAGCTTGCCTTCGTAGTGCAGTGATCTGCACGCTGGCAGCGTATTCCAGAGGTCTATGGTTCGATTCCCGGTGAAGGCGTTGCTCATTTTTCATCTCTCATGCTTTAAAAAAAAATCCTAATATCTGTATAGTGGCGCCCGAACTAAAAAGGTGGTGGATGATGATTCTTCACACGCAGGATTTGGCGACTGGGCCCCCTAGACCCCAGTTGCTCTTTAAAAGGGGTGTATATAAGGTATTTCTCCCGCATTCTTAGCATGCCTTCGTAGTGTAGTATTCATCACGCTGGGCGCGTATTCCAGAGAACCGTGGTTCGAATCCTGGCGAAGGCGTTGTTCATTTTTCATCTCTCCTGCTTCGAAATAAAATAATGTCTCTACAACTCGGTTTATTAAAAATTCTGCAATTTTCGTCATTCTGATTTTTGAGGTCAGAATCAAAACGATATTGCAGAGCATCAGAATACGCCGTTTGTCTTTCTTTTATACGATACTTTAAAGGAATTTTTATCTTCGATGTTTAAAACTGTTTTTTGATTTGTTAGTTCCTCAGTCATGAATTTCAGTGTAACTTCAGAGATATATGAATTAATGCTTTCTGTGCAAAGTCTTTCAATGTTAAGTTTCATCAGTTGTAACGCTAATATTGTAGTAGTAA